AAACCCACCCGCTGTGAAAATTTCATTTTGAGATAATTTTCTGCAAATTAGGAAGGTCTCGTTGCTGGGACCCAAATGACATGTTGTGCTCTCCAGCAGCTGGGTGTGCGTCCATTGCGTCCAAAATAGAGCAAACACCGCACCAAAAGGGGAGCTGGGGAGAACCTGCAGCATCCATAGGCTGTGGTTTCCAAACCCCAGGTAAAGGCAGCGAGCCTGGGGGCTAAGATCTCAGTGGAGTTTAAATGAAGTGTTTCTCCTCTTTTCCAAAGTAATATTCCTCTCCTTTTTTACCCTCATCACTTTCAGCCAAAAACTTGGAAAAATTCTTCCAAAAATACATTTCCACTCAGTTGGCAAATATTTTTCCTCCCTTATTATTTCCTGTCTGACGAATAAAATTTTCATATTTGGAGACAGAGTTAAGACAAGTGAACAGAAACAAGGGATATGATGCCACTTAGTGGAACATAGTTAGATGATAATAAAGAGCAATATTCCAACACTCGTGTTTCAAATTTCTGGCCACCTCTATGAGATGATGTTCTTAAACCTGACGTGCCAGGACTTCCCAGAGTACCAAGCTAAAGACAAGGGCTGCAAAGCAACCTGTGCTGGGCAGAGCCAGGATAAAATGTTCCTTTTCTAATCATGCAGACACAGCCCGATGGCACAGGGAATTTTGCAGAAAAGTGGGAAAATCAAGGATGCCATAAGCTCAGGGCAGACACAGAGGATCGCAAAGGCGTTGTGAACTGCTCCATGAGCATCTCACAAGACAGTAAGATCTTTCCAAGCAGTGCTAGCGAGCAGAGGGGGAGAGAGGACAACCCCGCCAGCTCGCTGGAGAACTCCGCTCTTGGCTTTCCCCAGATCCCTGCCAGCGCAAAGCCAGGATGGTGAAATTCGAAGCACAGCAAGAACGCAGTGAAAGGTGCCCAGAAAAAGACTACAAGGCAGGAGCAACCCTGCAGAAATACCCGAAATGACAAGCTGCACTACCTCCTGCGGGCGGCTGCCCTCCCCAGGCATGGATGGACATGAGCCAGCCGGGCAGAGCCAGCTACTGCTGCCCTGCCAAAGCCCGGCTGCTGATAAGGGAAAGCTTCTTATCTCTCCCCTGCCCCTCCTGTAAATACACCCTAGCCTCTATGCTCTGCAGAAGTGCCAGGCCTGCAGAGGCTTCGGTTGGCAGCAGCAACGTCAGCGTGTTCGCCGGCGCTTTACAGTATTTTTAGCCCTCCTGACATTAGCAAGGTGCAAAAAAAAGAAAAAACAAAACAAAAAAAAGACTGTCCTGATTTGGCATGTGTATAAAAGGGATAAGGGGCTGCCGGGTGTTGCCTGCCTTTTGCAAACAGCGGGGAGCCACGGCTGCGTCGCGAGCAGGGTGAGTAGGAACATCTCCCTTTCTCAAAGGCTTTGCTGGCTCTGCTGTTAGCCCCCACGCACGCTGCTCTGGGTCTCTCCAGGGACACCCGCCACCGCACAGACCCACTGGAGATCGTTTCCCAGCATTTTGTCACCCCTCTGCATTTATTCCCTCGGCTCCATCCATTTCTTTGCCGGTACCACAGCAGGACATAGTGCCACAACCCCATGTGGAGTGGCCAGGGTCCAGCGTGGCTCTGATTTGGTGGCTTCTTTACCGTCATCTCCCTATCTCCTGACCACCTCCGCCTTGGTTGCCCCAAACCCTCCCCACCCCAACAGCTCTTTAGCCAACTCAGCACTCCCCACGGCATTTCCCTTCCCCTCTCCACCCCCTGCCACGCCGGTTACCATGGGAGGGATGCTGCAGAGATGTCAAATGGGCTCTCTCTGCTCGTCTTGTGGAGGTTTTCCATCTGAACCGTTACAGCTCTAAGCTGCCACCGCTACAGCTTGCAGAGGCAAAGCAATTCCCGTACTCCCGACACTGAAACTGCACAGAGCTGCCGGTGATAACGTTGCCCGGGCTACTTTAAAATTGAATTTATCTGCTCGGAGCGTGGTCAGGGCAGACCGAAATGCCTGCCTGGGAACACAAGTCAAGAGCCTGCTGATAGCACAGCCATCCCTGGGAAGGTGCGGGGTGCTTCTGTCCAAACCCCAGCAGCAACCAGCCCTTCTCTCACCTCTCCCCCAGCCCTCTGCAATGGCACCTCTGGGCTGAAACATCCCCGCCGGAGCTGCTGCTTCGTGGATTAACATGTTGTCATCTCCGGGGCACTATGGGACATGGGGAAGGGGCTGGCCACCCTGTGGGTGCAAGCGCAGGTTGCAATGAGACCAGTGTTCTCAAAGGCTTGTCCTCTCCAAACGCGGATTAAATTTGTGGGGAAAGTAAGAAAGCAGCAGTCCCCCGGTATCCTCTTCTCTGACCACTGGCAAGCAGTGACTTAGGGATTTCTGAGATGGGGTGGTTTATGAAGAACTGTGTTTAAGGCACAGGGAGAGGAAACTGTTTAGGCTAATATCAAAGCAGGGCTTTTGCTTAAATTGCTTTCGAAGCCATAAATACAGAAGTGACATGGAATTGAAATAAAACAGTTGGTCTGAACCCAAGAAAGAATGCTTAGATTAAGAAATAAAACTGGGCAAGTGAGGTTTTTCACATTTTCAGTCATCTGGAGAGAGCCCATTTTTTCCAGTATTTCTGAGACGTGGCTAAGGGCCGAGGGGGCATCTTCCACCCCAGTCCCAAGCTACTCCCCTCCCAAATGCCATGTAGGATGGCAGCAGAGAGCCTTGTGCTCAGAAAGCACAGCCGTGGAAAAATTGGGCTTAGAGTCCCTCAGTCCCTTTGACAAAGGGTACGCTTTGCAGAAGCAAGCCCCGCCGAAGCAAGAGGAGAAAGGCTGGGGCATCTGGCATCTGCTGGGATTGACTTTTTTTGAGTTACCATGCCTGGTTCGTGTCACGTAGCGACCGTGAAGGATTCAGAAGTGGCCTCTTGTTGCTCACTTACCTAGAAAGCGGCAGGCGAAATCCCTCTCTGCCTGTGACAGCGGGTGTCTGCGCCTGGGGATGGGAGAGCAGCCCAGCAGTGACTGCAGCTCACACGCACAAGGACAACTTGAACATGTCAACGGCTGGGCATGAACAGTTCGCCTCTTTGAGCTCAGATGTGGTCCAGGAGTAAATAGAGAATGTATGGCCTCGTCGGGCCATGCACTAACCCCATGGCAGTGGGGCGGTCTGGCCTCCAGTATGGCTGTCCTGCAGATTAAAACATCCCATGTGCTCAGGATCGATCTAGGGGACATCCTCCTATCGAGGCATCCTCTGGCTATTTGAGCATCCAGCACTGGCTTAACTCATTGGTGCTGTTTGCATCCTCTCAATGTTTGTACGTGCATTCGTGTGTTAATGGGAAAAAAAATTTGGCAAGCCTGGAGTGGTCATGAGGGAGCTTGTGGAGTCTCCTTCTCTGGAGATATTCCAGACCTGCCTGGACACGGCGCTGTGCAGCCTGCTCTGGGTGACCCTGCTTGGGCAGGGGTTTGGACTAGATGACCCACAGAGGTCCCTTCCAACCCCGACCGTTCTGTGATTCTGGACAAGGCTTAATCCCACGCAAGGCAGGAAAAACCAGGGTAGCACAGAGAGGGATGAGTGACATCCTGCTCTCCTGGAAGAGCGAGGCCAGTGCCCCAGTGCAGCTGTTGAAACCCCAGCCTGCCTCCGTTTGGGAGAGGCTGCATGAATACGGTGAGTGACACTTCTGGGCTACCCTAAGTGGCTCACAGCAGGCTCTGCTATTTGCATTGCACAAATAGTCATTTTATTATTAAAAACAACAACGGCAAATAGAAGCTAAACCAAGATAAAACTAGTGAGCACTGTGCAGATGCAAGAGCTGGTTCTACCCACAGCTTTAACCCAAAAACATCATCAGTCTTGGATTGCACCTTTCCTTCCACTTTTTCACGTATTTTCTCCTGCAAAGTTCTCGCTCAACACACCTACATTTCAAGTGCGAAGCAATAATGCAAAGAACAACATTTAAGGCAGAAGTGAATCTAACGGGCACAAACTGAAGCAGAGGAAGTTCCGTCTGAAGATGAGGAAGAACTTCTTCCCTCTGAGGGTGACGGAGCCCAGGCCCAGGCTGCCCAGGGAGGTTGTGGAGTCTCCTTCTCTGGAGATATTCCCCACCTGGACAAGGTCCTGTGTAGCCTGCTCTGGGTGACCCTGCTTGGGCAGGGGGCTTGGACTTGGTGACCCACAGAGGTCCCTTCCAACCCCTAACATTCTGTGATTCTGTGATTCTGAGCAAAACAAAAATATACTGGGTGGGAGCTGAGGGTTCTCCTAAAGGAAAGCTGTACCTCTCTGGAGCAGCAAAACACTAATTGTATTAATTCTTTGTTCTCCTTGATTCCTGGCTCTGGAGGCAAGAAGAAATGCTACGTG